TCTGGATGCCTCTAAGCCTCAGGAGGTATTTGATTTGGTGCAGAAATGTTGTTAGTTCCAAATGATTGCATGTAAAAACCTGTAATTCCATTTTGTATCTTTTCTACGATTCAATTGTCTCAAGAATTTTTCAGCTGGTAATTTTAGAGAAATTACTTTCTTCCTTTTAAAAAGATAAACATTTCACCAAAAACTGAAGGTAAGGACAATATTAATTAGAAAATGTAGTTGATGAATTTCATTAAATTCAGATCGGTTTTATGTTTCAATACCAAAAAAGTCATTTTAATTTTACTGAATAGTTTTTTAAAATAAAAAATAATACAGTAGCGCAAAATACCAAAGAACTGTGCATGATTTAAGCATAATTTAATTGGTCTGTCTGTGGATATTACAAAATTAATGAAAATGCTCAACATATATTTTGCAGCATTTTTAAAATATGTTAATTAGTAAAATAACAGTTATAAGCTGCAATGTAACCATGCTGGTTTTCAAGAAGTAGTTATATTTTCCTCTCTTCTATTTTAGTTACATTACAGCTCATACTGATACTGAAGGAGAATCTGAGGAAGAAAAAGGATGGATCAATTGCTCTGTATCTTCATTGATACCTGAAGAGAAAATAGATTTATTTAATCTTCTGCAGGAGGTGGACAGAATGCATGTTGGCTCAGAGCATGAGAAAAGAGAAAGCTTCAAACTATTGCTTGAAAGGAAGGAAGAGGTACTGTCTCTAGTCCGGTGCATTCCATGGTGTTCTTTTAAAAGTTTGAGTTGTGTTAAAATTTAAGGATACATTTGAGTAGATTGTTTCTAAGGGAAAAAAAAAAATCCTGTTGCCTAAAAATGGCCCCTTTGATTAGCATTCCCAAATATTTGCTGAAAGTAGGCTCCCTATACAAGTGGTTATGGTTACTCAGCGCAGTGGAGAAAGCATCCACTATCAAGTTACACCTCTTCTGGTTTCCCCTTTCCAGTCGCCAGCAGGCCAACACAGGCTTTCTTCCCACATTAACTTTGTGGTTTATGTGAGAGTCAATGTTGCTTTTACTGTGGGATTAGAGAAGGATGAGGGGTTCCAGCAGCAACTAAGCACTTCCCATTTTGTTCGCAGAATACAACAAGGAATTTAGTAGGAGAAGAACAAGAGATGGTTAGGTTGCTGTGAACCTCTCTTGTTTATGCTAAAATGAAGATGGTGGGAAGGAGCCTTTACTTCAACTCTGAATCACATGTGATGCCTGTGGGCAGTCTAAGGAAATAAAAGTGACGCTTTCTTCATCAGTGGAGGCTCCTTGCATAGGAAGGAAAGACAGAAATTAGCTCAGGTGATAAAAGGGCCTTTGGAGCATAGAGGTGATGCCAGTTTGTATTCTGGTCAATGGCTGTTGCTAGACCCACCCACCATGGCAGCTGATTTGTGAGATCCCTCAGAGGATGTTCTCAACATTCCAGCTGTGGCACACAAATGTTGGGATCCCCTGCTCTGAATGAATGAATGAATGAATTTCAGTGGTTAATCAGATAAACTCCTTTAAAGGGTCAAAGTAAACTATATTAGTTCAGTTTGCAGATAGGAAAAATGCTTTAGTGCTTCCATGTAGCTGCCTACAAAAATCTAGCAGGCTACACAAAAAATTCCTATTTCATGCAGAATCTTACATGTGTATATGTATCTAATTCTAGATCCTATTACTTGCTTCAACAGAAAACTCTGAAAAAGGTTTTTCATGGCATAGGGCCCGGTTATTTGAGGTTACTGCCTATTTCCCATAGTTTCTGCTTGGCTAATATGATCTGGCAGATTGGGTGCACACTGAGTCCTCTCAGTTAAACAGCGTCACCTTTTGGGACCCAGGAAGTATGCCTTGTCAGTAGCAGCACCTTCCCACCGGAATGAGGTCCCCCATGAGATCCATATGGCTCCCACGCTGATGACATCCATAAGGCCTTGAAAACCTGGCTGTTCTCCCAGATTTTGGGCTGGGGTGGATGGGGCTCCCCTGTTTTATTTTATTATGTGTTGTCTGGATTGCCATCTTGTAATTATCTTGTAATTTATTTTGGCCTAATGTATTGCATTTCGTTGTTTTTGTGTTGTTCTTCACTCTGTAAGCAGCTCAGAGTTGGTTGGAGTCAGGCAGCTTCAAAAATGCAGTAAATAGATAAAGCACGACACAATTATACATGAAGACAATGAATTTAAAATACAAGACAATGTAATTGCTTACAGAATGGCATGTGGGGACTGGGGGCATGAGCATTTTAAGTATGTCAAAAGATATCTATAGCAAAAGCAATCTAACGCATCTCTGTGTTTGCAAGCAGTATCGAAACCATCCTGGCTTTCTTTGGAGACTTGCCCGAGCTTATGGGGACATGTTTGAGTTAACTACAGATGCTGACGAGAAAAAGAACTATGCTACTGAAGGTCGGCTGGTCAATGTTAATGCAAATAATATTTGTTCAAACTAGAAATATATCAGGAATGCTATTTTATTATTGCTTCTGCTAAACAGAAGATTTGGTTCATTTAGCCAGCCAAGGCAGAGAAATATGAGCTGGGGTAACAATCCTGCTGGGGATTGTGGTACTAATCTGATTCCCTGATTCCCTTTCTTTGCTTGTACCAGGGCAGCCTTGCACCAAGAAAGATGGTGATATTTAGCTGAGCAAGTATATTGGTGAGATTTCAGAAAAGGAGTTTCCCTGCCCCAGTTTTGTTCTGAATCCACAAGGAATGCTAAGGGAAGGGCTCAGGGTTTTTTTGTGTTTCTGTTTACCCAGGCATTGCATTTTTCAAAATATTAATTGCAAAGCTGAATATGCTTGTTTATTAGACATACACTCCATCTTTCCTCTGAGAACTCAAGGCAACGTGCATAACCTTCCCTTTTCCAACTTTCTCCTAAAAGCAACCTTGTGAACTAGGTTAGGCTGAGAGACAGTAATAAGCCCTATATAACCTTCCATAGCTGAGGGGGGACTTGGACCTGGATGTCCCCTGTCTAGTCCAGCATCTTAATCACTACACCACATTGGTTTTATCCTAGAAGTACTGTATGTCCTACTGAATTAAACTAATCTGAAGCCAAATGGGATAAACTCCCAATTTAATGTCCCTTTTAAATATCTTATGGGTTCTGCTTTAACCTTAAGAGGCCAAAGTTTAACTGTACTTACCAGCTTCCAGGTGTAATAAGTTCTCTGTTCTGTCCAAACTAATGAAAAGAATGAGAAGGAATGAGTGAAAAAAATAAAGGCAGGAGATAAGGAAAAAACATCTACATCTGGTTTACATCAATATTGTTCACAATACTTCTCCATATTTTTATATTCTTCCAAACCATTCTTGCTTCCACCACGTCCATACCCTGATTCATATTGGCTTTTATTTCTTCAAATTATTGACATCTCTCATTTTGAGGATGTCATCAGTTTCATCCTGTCATGACTTTCTCAGTCTTCTGCTTCCTTTCAACCCATTCACTCTTCTTTCATATATTTGTTTTGCAATTTAATCCTTGTTCATTCTCTCCATACAACCCACACATCTCTACATACTTCTATTTCACTGACTTTATCCTCTCTCTTCCTGTTTTAACACATATTTATTTATTTTTATTTATTTATTAAATTTGTATGCTGCCCATCTCCCCCATTGGGTTGGATACAGTATGTCCATATGCCACATGAACATACTGCATCCACCATACTTTTGTTTCTGTTGACATACACAACTCATTTACATATAATTAAGTGGACAGAAGCACATTCCCGTTCATCTGTTCATGTCACCTAACAGAATATTATTTTCTGTTATATTCCAAGTCACATTTTTTCATATGCCATAGTTATCACCCAATGATCCCATAGATAGTGACCTCCACCACCTATCATAGCTTTGATCAATTAAGGTTTTCACATAAGGCACAGGCTAGGTTACCAGCCTTAATTGTACCTGTGCCACATCCAGTATTCCCTGCCAATGGTAAGGACAGTACTGGTCAGTTTTGTCAAATGTTGGCCAGTATACCACAAGTGCATTTTAAGCCCAGTGTTACTGCAAGCATGCTCACATTATTCTGTGCTAGCTTGGTTCTCTGATCTGGAGACTACTTTGCAAGCTAATATATCTGCCTGCATCTTACCAACTAGGAGGTACTTGCAGTGTCCTAACATACTCAAGATATTTTGTCAAGCCAGATTTCTTTAATCTCTCTCAGTCTTCACCACCAAGTTATCCAGCTCTCTCTTCCCTTACATCCTGCAGATCATTTATATCACATTCTCTAAAGCTTTGACTCACAAATACCATTGATGTCCCCTACCACCCCATTTCATAGTGCTGTGATTATAATAGGTGCTGTATCATTGGTAGTAGGCTTTCTGTCCACACACTACCTCTTACAGCAGTGTTACATGTGTAGATACCTACTTGGGCTGCAGTGACTTTCTTTTCCACCAGTAACCATTGTGTGTTTCCAGATTCTGCTCTGGAGGATTTCTGAGCCTTACAGAAGGAGTTTTGACACCCTAGAAGAGTAGAAAGAGAGTAGTAATCAGCTCCATTGTCAAAGGACAGCAGATAGTTACCATTTGGTGTAGTAATTCTTTATCTTGGACAAAAATAACTAGGATAGGGTAATTGACTTAAAATCACAATCATATAATTGTCTTTATTACTTTATTGTTGAATGAACGGAGCATGGTCTGGTATTGGTTTATGCATATTGTTAAAATCTGTATAATGCACCTTTTGCAGGAAAACTTGTTGGTGAGAATGCAGTTAACCTGGACCCATCAAATGCTGAGAGTCATCAATGGTAAGTTTGAATAGTAGAGATTTTACCACCTCTTTGATCCCATCTGTACCACTTTTAGGCCTGAAATGCCTAAAACAGGCACACTGTTTTAATAAAAGCATATTCACAGGTTCAGTCTTGACATCTTCATATACTTGGGTTGAGAAAGTTATCCTAGATGTTGCAGGTATGCATCTCTTTTATGATTGGTCTGTCTGGCTCTGCATTTTCTTCACTACCAGGTTCCCAGCTGCTGTTAGATTTTAGACAAGAGTCTTTCCCAAACAAGGGAAAAGATAATGCTTCCTTTGAGTTGTGTCTGATACCCAGTGACTCCATGACAAATATTTATTGTTCTCTTGGCAGTAGTATGAAAGTAGCTTATCATTGCCACCTTCTAGGATATTTCCAGTATAGCCAACAGCCCTGCTTTTCCCTAGTGGTTTCCCATCCAAATACTAACCAGGTTGGACCCTGCTGAACATCCAAGCTCATATAAGATAGCTCAGATGCTACCATTTTCTGAACAAGTCTCTATAATTATTGCTTTTAAAAAAAAAAAAAATGTATGGCCATTAGAGGGAGCCATTAGATTCTCTCTTTTTTTTCTAGTTTTCACCTAACTTTAAGGTCAATTATTCTTAATTCAGAATCTTTCTAAGTTCCTGAATTATTTTATGGTTCACTAAGGCTGTAGATTTTCTTAAAGGTGACTTCTCTTCTGGGATTTCAGTGAGAGAAACAGCTTTGCTGTTTGGAGACTTTAGCTCAAATCACTCATATTCTGAACTGCCTATCATCAATTGTGTTGGATCTCCTCCTCTCCTCTTGTTCTACATTTACAATAATACAGAAAAATTACTGTAGCTCCCTAAATAATACATTTAGTACAAACCAGCCCAGGCTTTTCTCACCCAGAATCCTCCAGATGCTACCTGGGAATGTGAGTTTGGTCTCAGCACATGCAGAGGGTGCTAAACTGAGGGAGGTTTGACTTGCCTCTTTCAATAATATATTGTCATGTATTTGTTTCCTCTTGTCCCAGTCACCTTTTTTCAATTAATGTCCATGGCTGAAGGGACTACAGCATTTTCCCACCTCTCTGTCAGTAAAGTGCAATGTAATCCTGTACATAGAAATACGGCTTCTTGCATTTTATAGGATTTATTCCTGGATAAGTGTGCTTTGGATTGTCTGCAGCCATAGCCACTTCTTTGTTTTTCTGATTGCCCAGAATTCAGCCTTACAAAACATAGCCAGCTATACAGCAACTTGGCATACAACTTTTTTTTAACACTAAGAAATGTTCTACAGCAATTTGTAAAATGTTCTACAGCAATTTGGCATACAACTTTTTCTTAACACTTCCAATAAAATGTTTTTTGAACTTTATAATTTTTTAAATAATTGCCAGCTGCAGTTTCCTGTCTTCAGATCATTTCTTCTGCCCGGGTTCATGCTTTAGGTTAACTCCATTCGCTTTACTAGCCATTATTCTCTGGTCAAATTAGCCATGCAGCTTTGCCTCAAAATACTTCAGCAAATAAGAACGTCTGTTCAGGGTCTTATGGTGCAAAGTTTTTTATGTGCATAAAAAGGGAGCAAGGAGGGACATCTTTTCCCACTACTTAGCCACCACATGGTCATTCTCACCATGTACAGCAGTGATGGTCCAACTTGAAGATCCTCCTGCATGAAGACTCACTGTGTGATTTCACTCTGGAAGCCTAAATTGTAGCAAGCACTTCCAAAGATACTTATTTATTTATTAATGTATTAGCGCTTTTATACCACTTCAATCATTCCAAGTGGTGTCCTGCAAAAGAGTAACATTATAGCATCATATATAGTAATACATGGTCCACAGTAGTCAGTTATATCATAAATCATAACAGTCACAACCACTGATAACACTTTCATTCATCCCAGGGACATTTTCTACTCAACTCCTCAGTCCCTAAATGCTATCTTAAAAAGCTAAGTTTTCAACAGCTTTCTAAATATTCAGAGGGAGGGTGGAGATTTTATTTCTGGTAGTAAGACATTCCAAGAGGAGTGCCAAATGGACAACCTCTTTTCATCAGACAGTAATCCTTGACCTGGTGAATGATGAGGCCCAATTTTGAAAGCTTGTTCCTTGCTTTATCCCTTTGCATCTTATGAATATCTCAGAGAGCTGTCTTGTCTTTTATTTCAGTGGCTTTTGGAGTTGACAATATTCATTTGTGTTGACAGAATGGTTGCTGATCCCTACAGGTTTAGAAATATCCTGGTCTTGACATTATTATTAGAAGTGAATTTTACTTATAGCTAGGATACTTATGCATCCTCAAATAACATAAATTCATCAACTCTGCCAGGGAAAGGAATAACAGATAAAAAAGATAACCTTTAGAGAAGGCAACACTTGAAGACTCTTCAGCTGTTCCAAACCACTCAGGAACTCTGAATCCACATTTTGGGATCACCTATACATTTGTTGTCAGCAATCCCCAAACCCTCTAAATGCTCAGACTGTCAGGCTTATGCTCAGGCCACCACAATGAATATTTCTCTAGAAGTCTCATCCCTCACTCAGGCATTTTTACAGAAAGTCAAGAGCAGATTCAGATAGTGATGTAATATTTAGAGCAACTACAAAATAGTCCCGATAAAGATGAAGATCAGTTCTACAGAATCTAAGAATATTCATACTCACGCATATAGGTCTCAAAGTTCAAATCCCAAGTTTCTTTTCTGTGCGATTTTGTCATAATAGATTGTCTCCCACCTTTTTCTCAGACTGTGGGTGGCACTTGCACTGTGTGATACAGGAGTCCTGCCTTTTTCAGGCCCTTTGTTTCTTACCTTGCCAGCACCAGCCCTCACAGAGACCCAGTCTCTTAATGGCCCACAGTTGTCCTCACCATACCCATGGCAGGAACTCAAGGTGAGTCAAACTGTGGCAGAAATGTGAGGGGAAATGCAGGTCAGCAGCTTGCAAATCTGACAGAAGGGTACTGGGGTCTGTAGCTTAGGAGTCAAGAAGAGAAAGTCAAGGAGCCAGGAGGTGGGGATTGTCAGGAGCTCCCACCAATGAGCACCTGACCCACCCAAATCCTGTGGAGCTTCAAGATTTCAAAGTGGAAATTTTGCAGATTTTGAACTATGCCAGAGATGAGCCAGAAGGAAATGCAAAAGCTAACAACGGTGCAGGATCATAGGGATATGGCACTGATCCAGGAATGGCCCTAAATCCTGTGTGGAGGTGCCTTTGTTAGTTTATGCTAAGATAGTGAAAACTGTGTTTTTAAATGATTGCTTCATTTTAATTATAATTTGCTTATATTAAAATTGTTCCATAGTTTGGTGTCATAACATTTTATTACATTAAAAAGATAAACCATTTTGTGTGCCAAGGCAGAAAGGCAGCATATAAATACACATGTTTTTACTTAGAGAAATACCAAGCTGCTAGATTTCTTTCCTGCAAGGCAATGATTACCTTTTGAGTATCCTTTGGATTATGGCTGTGGGTCTTGGGCCTTTATTGGATAGTACAGTATCTATAACATAGCTATGAATAATGATAAAACCTCTTCTTTTTTGCTCATACCATTTTTCTGCCCTTTATTAAATGTATTTCTCTCTCTCTTTTTTTAGCCAGTTATAATTTATGCTAATGAAGTAAAGAAAGAGTCATCCAGCTATTCAAATGAAAAATTGGTGATAGATACTTTTATCACTTCCTCTTCCAATAATGTTCCAGCTTTGGAAATAACATTTCTCTTCCTGTTCCCATTAACAGATTTTCTTCCCTACTATTCCATCTCTCCTAGCTTCTTCCCAGAGCAAATTATTTCCTTTCTCTAAGTGAATTGAAATACACTTTTATTGGGCAATTCCAGATGTTAAAAACATAAAGAATCTCCACTATGTAAAATTTTAGAAACCACAGTTCTGCCAAGGATCTACAGGGCTTCCCATAGGAATTCTTACCCATCTTCTGTGAGCTGAATTGGGTTTGCTCTCAATTAAAGCTCATGTTGATAAGGTCTTGCTCAAATTGTACAGGTATATTGCTCTAAGAGTCCAGATTTCTAGTTAGACAATGGTTGGATTTGTTAATCTACAAAGTGGTTGAAAATCTGCCTTACGTGAACTTTTGGATAAGTATTTATTTTCACTAGCAACTGTGCCTTTGGAATCGGAGGAGCTGTGAGAATTGATTTCTAATTTGTACAGTAGAAGGAGTAAAAAACTTATGGCAACGCCTAGATCTTTATCATGTTTATTTATTAAACATGTTTAGCTATAAGCCATTATACCCATTAATACTGGAAAAACTAAAGTTTTTAATTATGTTTAAATTAAAAGAGGAGATCTTAACACTGACCCCACACCTATTATCATTTAATTTCTGGATTATTTAGATAATTTTTTTGCATAGCTAATACAGATAGGGTACAGTCATTAATAGGGATCTTACCTAAAGCTGGATTCAGCCCAAAGACCTTTCTGCCTCCTTTTTAAATAATTTTCTTCAAAATGAAAATTGTGTTGCAACGTCATTCTCTAGTGTAGCTAGACATACAAATAAGGACAAGAATGTATATGATTGCCATTGTCAAATCCCTACCATTACTGAGAGATAGATATAGCCATGGGTGGCATCCACAAAGAAACAAAAATTGCAGTTGTGTCGCCCTCTCGAGCTATAATGTTCACTTTTCCTGCTTTCGTTGAAAAAAGAGCTTTTCTCTCACCTTTCAAAAGCTGAATATGAGGCAAAATGTGCTATTGTTTTTCTGTTGTTTTGTTTTATAAGGTCTGTTCTTGATTTTCCATATTTTTAACCAAAGAATTAATACGTGCTAGTTTCATGTACACAATCTGTGAGAGAGAGATCCCAGGTTGTTGTTTTTTTAATCTAGTGGAAAGTTTTGTAAAAAGCAATTTAGAAATTCCGCTTTTTAGAGTAGAGGTTGTGAATTCTTGTTTCATGTTTAAAAATCTCCTGTTAAACTTACTAGTTACTGGTCTGTATTATTTCAGACTTCTTTGGGACATGTGTCACCTGGATGGACAGCCTTTAAATTAGTTTCTAAGACAATAATTTCTTTCTGTCCTTATAGCAGATCACAGTGAGATCTGCAATAGCTTAGTACAACTTAAATAGTATCAAAAGATTGTAAGGGAACACTGGTATAGCATGGCATTCATCTAATCCAGTGTTGTCCAAACTTGGCCACTTTAAGATGAGTGGACTTCAACTCCCAGAATCCCCCAGCCAGCCATGCTGGCT